GGTCTTATGCTCTAATAAATTTGTTAGTCTCTAAGGTGCCACAAGTACTCCTGTTCTTCCCTGTCCATAGAAAACCCTGGGATACCACCCTGAAGCACTAACATCTTATAACAACAGCAGCAATGTGGATGTGGGTGCACACCTGTACACAGCATTATACCTGTGTCCAGCACAGCATAATGTGGACACTCAGTGCAGGAATGGGAAGCTGTGCATGTTCTAGTACTCAGGTCTGTACACCTGCATAGACATAGCCTTATTTGGATGTTAGCCTAAAACTCAGAGGTACATCTGTGTAATCCCTTTGGCTCTCTGTCCTATAACTCCCATAGGAGCGTTTGATTCCCTGTGCATTTCTAATAATGTTGTCATGATGACCACAGTCTTGCTGCCATTGGAGTAAATAACTCCTACTCATTCTTTGCCTGATTTATCATTGTCCTGCACCTTATACAGACATTTACAACTGTGCAAAGTGGGTTTCAAATACTAGCATTCCGCAGAGCAATGATGAATCAGACCGCTTATTGCTAGCAGGATCAGGCCTTGGAGGGGCTGGTGAGAGTAATGTATGAGCCACTGCATGTTTAAGCATTTCATTATATTTTTGCCCCTTTAATTTAAAAAAAAACTCCAAATGTTACCCCATATGAGAAGGATCTTATATCTTTATGTATGTTGATGAACATTACTTAAGATTTGTCAGGAATTTTGTTAGCCTGTACATAATTACCCTGAAGTCTTGCATCTAGGTGACGGTTCCTCCATTACATACAACCTGGCCTTCCAAATTAAGGACAAACTATCCATGTGGATGTAGGTGCACACCTGTACACAGCATTATACCACAGCATAGGAGATGTTCACACATGCAGGGAGAGCAGAATATTGAAACTAGATTGAAAGTCTTAAATAAGCATTTTGTCCATTTTCTGCATTTCCTCTGCTATGTGGAAAATGGAGGGGTTACCATTAAATACCTTCTGTTTTTTTTTGCTTTTGTTTTTTAATCATAACATAGCATCTGAGATGATAATTTTGAAATAGTAAATTGCACTTCTATAATATTTCCCATCTGGATGTTTCAAAACACTATACAAATAGTAATGAATTTAGCCTTGCAACACTCCTAAGATGTAGGCATCTATTATCACTGCTTTTATAGAAGGGGAAATTGAGGTACAGAATCCTTGAGTAACTCTCTCCAGGTCACATAGGGAGTCTATAGCTGAGTGAGGAATAGAATTCAGTTTTCTTATGCTTTAGGACAGAAAATGCTTCCTCCCCTGCTGAAAAATAAGAAAGCTTCTTCCAGGAATTAATTGCTTCTTTGGACTTTTTCCCTTTTCACTGGGTTCTCTTCCTTATCTGTTCTGGGCCTCAGTAAGGGCAGTTTCTCTGTGTAAGGAAGAAAATTACAGAAAGAGAATTATAGGGAATATGTTTTTCATATCAGATTCTTACATTCATACCTCAAGGGTTTATGCAAGCTAGCACCCTGTTCAGTGCTAGCAGGAGTTTGTTCTGCATATGCCAGCGCTGTTGAAGTGACTAAGATTTAATGCATTGGGGCACCTCTTAGAAACTCATGAGACTCAGTGACATCCCTAATCAAATATACAGCCAGCATTTGATGTTAACTTCCAGCCTTCTGAATATATGTTGTGATTATAGCCACGCTGATATTCAATATGAGGGGTTCCCTTGTGCCAGCAGAGCACTGCTAATACTGTAGCTTTGATCAGAAATGTCATCCTGAGTAGGGTCTCTTATAACTGATAATAGCTATCTCCTGTGGTATTTATACATGGAGTTCTTATATGAAATACATGATAACAATACAAAATTATCTGCTTAGCAAACAAATTCTCTATGGATCATAAAGGGCATCATATAATTGTAAATGTTTAGAAGAGAAACATTCTTTAAAAAATCAATATAATTAAAGCAGCTTGAAAAGCATCATGTACTGAATATGTTCCTTCAATGAATAACATTACAGGATTATGGGTCAGATCTTGCCAGTGCAGCAGAGATGAGCAAAGCCACTGCCAGGTGCATCCTCTGTCAAAGAAACACTGGTGCCCAGCAGGATTCTGTGCAGCAAGTCACTGAAAGGATGCAGAACAGGCCTCCCTTTGCAGCTCCTCTAATCATACTAGCTTGTTGTCATCAGCACTTGTTGGTGATACTTCTTATGCAGGCTTTGGGGCCGGATTCAACTTTTTTTCACTTTCCCCATGCCCCTGGGTGTGAGCTACACACTCTAGCACATTAGTTTTGCATTCAACTGAGGATATTTTTGTTAACCAGGAAGATATGCTGCCTGGATGCTTACATGACAGGAAGAGGCTTTCTATGTCCTCTGTGCTTCCCCTTCTTTTCTCCCCACCTCCCCAACACTCCACTGACCCATTAACCCAAAACATTCAGAACACAATTTTTATATCAGTAAAGGAGGTAATTAACATGCTTAATTGTAGAGTGTGGGAAAAGATTCAGTTTACCCAGAGGAGGCTGTGTGCACCAAGGATGAAGAGGAATTTCTTATCCTCCCTTCTCCTTACCCCTTGTACAAATTTAAAACTAGGAAAGAAATGACTTGGATTAAGTTTAAAGCTGGAAAATTTAGGTTAATTACAAATAAAAAAATCCCAAATGGTCAGATCTGTAGATTTTTGAATAATATTCCGAGGAAGAGGTGATGAAACATTTAAAACTGGACTGGAAAAGAACAATAGAAAATATAGTGTAAGGAATATTCCCAGATTGTCTGGGGGAACAGACGAGCTGAGGAAGCAGTGCTGGGGGAGCCCTGAAAGTACCAATACCTTGGCACAGTGACATTGACACCCTCTGTGCTGCTGGCTCAGAATTCCTGATCAAATGGCACAGACCATTTTGTTAAATAAGCCAGCAAGAGAAATGTTTCCTCCTCCTTCCCCAAAAATGCATAGGAAGGAGTACTGTGGAAAGGGATCTGGGGGTCATAGTGGATCACAAGCTAAATATGAGTCAACGGTGTAACACTGTTTCAAAAAAGGCACACATCATTCTGGGATATATTAACAGGTGTGTTGTAAGAAAAACATGAGAAGTAATTCTCCTGCTGTACTTAGGGTGACCAGATGTCCCAATTTTATAGGGACAGTTCTGATTTTTGGGTCTTTTTCATATATAGGCTCCTATTACCCTCCACCCCCAATTTTTCACATTTTCTGTCTGGTCACCCTAGCTGTACTCTGCACTGATTATGCTTCAACTGGAGTATTTTGTCTAGTTCTGGATGACACATATTAGGAAAGATGTGGACAAATTTGAGAAAGTCCAGAGAAGAACAACAAAACTGATTAGAGGTCAAGCAAACATGACCTGTGAGGGAAGATTGAAAAAATTGGGTTGGTTTAGTCTGGAGAAGAGAAGATTGAGAGGGGACATAATAAGTTTTCAGGTACATAAAAGAATGTTACAAGGAGAAGAGAGAAAAATTGTTCTCCTTAACCTCTGAGGACAGGACAAGAAGCAATGGGCTTAAACTGCAGCAAGGGCGGTTTAGACTGGACATTAGGAAAAGCTTCCTGACTGTCAGGGAGGTTTAAACACTGGAATAAATTGTTTAGGGAGGTTGTAAAATCTACATTGTTGGAGATTTTTAAGAGCAGGTTAAACAAACACCTGTCAGAGATGGTCTAGATCAGGGATCAGAAACCTTTGGCACGCAGCCCACCAGGGTAAGCCCCCTGGTGGGCCGGGCCGGTTTGTTTGCCTGCTGCATCTGAAGGTTCGGCCAAATCGCGGCTCACACTGTCCGCGGTTCGCCGTCCCAGGCCAATGGGGGCTGCGGAAAGCAGCAGCCAGCACATCCTCGGCCTGCGTTGCTTCCCACAACCCCCATTGGCCTGGAGCGGCGAACTGGGACAAGAGGGAGCTGCAATCGGCCAAACCTGCAGAAGCGACAGGTAAACAAACCGGCCCGGCCTGCCGGGGGCTTACTCTGGCGGGTCGTGTGCCAAAGGTTGCCGATCCCTAGTCTAGATAATACTTAGTCCTGCCATGAGTGCAGGGGACTGGACTAGATGATCTCTTGAGGTCCCTTCCTGTCCTACGATTCTATAATTGTATGAAAATTGCATGTGCCCTAGGCCTAGAATATCCTGTATCAAAGACATATTTTCTATACATAAAATTATCACGATTTTAAAGTCAGTTATCTTGTGTCATCAGAGGACTAGAAATGGAAAATTGCCAGCTTCTCAATGGATTCCAGCACTCACTTCTGACCCAGAAAGGGTGTAAGATTTTGAACTTTAAAATCATGACATTTTTAAATATAGAAAAGCTACGTAAGTACCTAGTAGACTCATGGTAATCAAGGTGTCTGGGTTTACAGGAGGAGGGATGCAAAACCTTTAAGAATGGTTACAATTCTTTATATTATTCTTAAAATGTGTTTCCTGATATCTATGTGGCATATGAAGAGTATATTATGATGTAGTAGAAGGCTTTTATCTACATGAGCTTGGTACAGCTGCATTACTCAGACATGGCAAAGTCATTAATGTATTATGCAGGTTGTTACAAATAAGTGCCAGCATTTTCAGATGGATGCACATATGTGCATCTATATTGTCTATCTAGAACACACACACCAGGATCAAGCCTCATAACAATCAGATCATTTAAGTTCTAAACCTTTGCAATATAGAATCATAGGACTAGAAGGGACCTCGAGAGGTCACCTAGTCCAGTCCCCTGCACTCATGGCAGGACTAAATATTATCTAGACCACCCTTGACAGGTGTTTGTCTAATTTGCTTTTAAAAATCTCCAATGATGGAGTTTCCACAACTTCCCTAGGCAATTTATTCCAGTGCTTAACCACTCTGACAGTTAGGAAGTTTTCCTAATGTCCAATGTAAAGCAATTTAAGCCCATTGCTTCTTGTCCTAATATTGGTGCAATACAAACAAATTCAAATTATATATTTGTTTTTTCTAATGAGAGCCATTGCATATTTTATTTGCTAGAAAAATATTCTTCATCACCAAGGAGGATGTCTACAGTTTATAAAGAATATGCCTTCTCCCCCAAACAAAATCTTTCCCTACAGTTTAAGTGTTAAATGTTTAAACATTTTCCCCTAATGTTTTACTTACTGTGATCTGAGAATGGAACTTGGACAAGTACATATAACAGAACTGCTGGAATCCTGCATAATGCACTTTGTCCCAACTAAGTGCAGTCATAATTATGCATTTTATAAAGAAAAATGCCATTGCCAGTTGGTTTTTGTGATGATTATTTCAAATTTTCTTTTCCCAATGATTTATTAAATGTTTATTTTCTTCTTTTAAATATGGAAACAGTGGTCAGTCTATGGAAAGCTGTTGTGTTGACTTTTTAAGGTTATCAAGGTTTTATTGAAATCTAAAACTCACTTTGATAGCTTGTCTACAGCCATCCCCTACAGTGAATTCTTCCTGTCTGAATTTAATGGAAAGGTATTTACATTTGGTGACTAACATTCATATACATGTATTTTAGGGTCTTTTTTATAACCTATTTATGTCTTGAAAAATAAAAAAGATTAAAAGAAAAATATGCTTGGTGAATTCAGTTCCTGGGATTTTTTTAATGTCTACGGGTATCTGAAAGCACAGGTTATTTTGTTAAGCATGTTTTTTTATTATTTTTATTGCTGTACTTGTTTGTTGTGTACTTGAGGCAGAATTTCCCTCTCTAGTCCATATTACTGATCTCTTATCTGCAGTGCAGGGTCTCTTGCATATTGTGTACTGGCTTCATATATGAAATCCTTACAGATAAGAGATAAGTATTGTAGATTGGAAGAGATTTATTTAATTTTAATTAAGAATAAATTCAAAAGATAACTGGAAAGTCCAAGAAAGGAAATTAATAAATGGAATATGTTGTTTTAAGCACTACATCAGATTTGGGGAAATCAAAGTTTTGGGGGGATTTAAGGAAGGACATGCAATTTAGCTGTAGTGAGAGTAAGGCCAGAAGGTACCATTATGATCCAGGCTGCATAATTCAACCAGAGATGGCATGATATGTGTCTCAGATATGTTCTAGGGGGGATGAAAGACTATCAGGAAGGAAAGTTTAAATTCTCTCCTTTATACATTTACTGTCTGTAACTGTATCTAATCTTGCAAATTAATGAACCTATGGAGATCCTAAGTAGAAAGTTACTGAACAAATCTTTTATTTAACTGTTGTAAAGTTTGCTGTGAGCAATATATTTATTGAGTAGAGAAGTGACAAATCTAAGACTGAAATTTACTGTATGTTACAAAAGCCATTTCCAAATTATAGCTGGTCTATTCTCACAACAGTGGGAATTCAGAACTACCTGTATTAAGCAAACAAGAAACCTTAATCTTATTAAATTACCTGATCCTATGCAAGAGGTCTCTACCATGTGCTCTGCAGAGCCTCTGTGGCCAGTTTCCACAGTTTCCGTGGCAGGGTGCAGTGTGTAGATGTGAAAGGGGCAAGGGAAGTGGGTCTCTATACAGCAGGAATCCACATGGTGACAAACTCATGTCCAAGAGAAACCAAGGAAGCAAAATCAGATGTTGCCTAAAGGAAGGAACACAGAATAGTAATGGAAGAGCAAGGAAAGAGAGAGAAAAATGTGGCAACTAGAAACAGTAAAAAGAAAAAAAACAGTAAATGTCTATGAAGACTTTAAAGCGAGTCTCTGACAATAGATGTATTGCCCTTGAGGAGGAGAGGAGGTGAAGCACATTGAGAACTGGCAACAGAAAGATAGAAACCTGACCTATGGTCAAGAAGAATGGAATGAAAATGAGCCACCTCAAAGAAAGAGGCAAATGATCCTGAGTGGTGATTTCTTAAGGAGGAAGCTACAGCCAAAACAAGTGTGGCCCTGATCATGAATATGGGATGGGATGGTGCTTTCTAGATACTAGAAGAAATAATATAAACTACAAGTGCCAAATGTAATATGGAATGCTAGATCTCACTGATTATATCTTATGTGGGAAAAAATAACACCAAAAAGAAAGATTTTATATGACTTTGAAAGACTTCCAGGAATCGGGAAGATAACTAATAAGGGAAGAGCTGGTGATCTTCTCAAAGGTTCTTCTTATGTTAGCCACAAGTGAAGAAGATTGATACTGAAGACCAAATGATAGAGTGACTGGTGGTGCAGGGAGAAAGAGTTTGTATTCAGGGAGCATTGGAATATCTTCTATTATGAGTATGTTTGGCTTAGAAGATCACCATTTAAGGAAAAAGATGTATTGACCACCTGGGTTCAAAACTTACTAACTTAGTCAGTTGACCTCTTAAGTAGGTAGGAAAGGTGGGAAAAAGGAGCTGTAACTGAATTGAGACGATTTGACATGGACTTCATATAAAAGTCAAGCAGAAGGTAAGTTACAATTATAATTTTAAAAACATTTTTAGTCCTATCCTTGATTTGACTGACTTATTCCATACAGAACATAGGACCTTCACCACTGCATTGAGCTGAACAGTAGCATAGGTTCCTATAAAAGCTTTGTTTCTTTCAGGATGGGTCATTAGCCCACTCCCAACTCCCTATCAGGAGGACTGGTGGACTGCCTTTGGCCTGGCTCCTACCCTTTGACTTCTGTGTCATGGCTGGAACTAATAGTTATACTCCTGCCCACATAGCTCTCAGGGATATGCAGGTCCAGTGCAACCACTTAGGCAAACTAGGCGGCAGCCTAGGGCACCTAAAAGCCTGCCCAGGCAAGGAGGTGGAGTGGAGGTGACCTGGGGCAGCTGGGGGGGGCGCCCGCAGTAACGGGGGGGGGGGGCGGGGGGCGCACAGGGGAACCACTCCCCGCCCCAGATAACCTCCACTCTGCCTCCTCTGCTGAGCACACAGCCCCCACTCTAAGTCTCCTCCAATCGGCACCGCAAGCCTAGGATGGGAGGAGAATTAGAGCAGCGCTGGCGTGCTCAGCAGAGGTGAGCTGGGGTGGGCTCCCCGGGCGAGGTTAGCTACTGCGGGGGGGGGCGGGGTGGGCTCCCCGGATGGGGTTAGCTGCCACGGGGGAGGGGCTCCCCGGGAGGAGTTAGCTGCCGTGGAGGGGGGCTCCCAGGGAGGTGTTAGCTGCCATGGAGAGGGAGCTTGCAAGGGGGGGTAGCTGCTGCGAGGGGGGGCTCCCCGGGTGGGGGGGGGTAGATGCTGCGGTGGGGGGGCTCTTCGGGTGGGAGGGGTGGATGGGCGTGGTTAGCTGCTGGGCGGGGGTGGTGGCAGCGCTGCATTATTGCCTAGGCCGACAAGGCCTAGGCCTAGGGTGGCACATTTGCAGAGGCGGAAGCTCCCCTCCGCTCCCCGCCCCCCTGCTCCAGCTCACCTCCACCTCCTCTGCAAGCACGCCACCGCATCCTGTTTCTCTCCCCTCCCAGCACTTGTGCCGCGAAACAGCTGTTTCGCGGGGCAGGGAGGGAGGGGGGAGGAGGGGGAATGCCGCGCGATGGGGGAAGAGGCGGGGCCGGGGGTGGGGATTTGGGGAAAGCATCCAATAGGGGAAGGGAGGAGGCGGAGTTGGGGTGGGGAATTTGGGGGGGGGTTGGAACGGGGGCGGGAAAAGGGTGGAGTCGGGGCGGGGCCAGGGTGGCAATTATTTCCCGGCCTAGGGGCGGCAAAATTATTAATCCGCTGCTTGGTGGTGGGCGGGGTTAGCTGCCACGAGGGGGAGGGGGTGCAAGTTGGAAGTTTCGCCTAGGGCACGAAACTTCCTTGCACTGGCCCTGGGGATTTGACAGCATAGAAGCCTTCCTACCACATCAATGTGCAGACCATGGGGAAGGATACCTATCTTTACTTCCTCTTAAATCATAATTAAATAATACACAGCATAGATATTATTCAGCAAAATGAAACACATGCACAACTTCTGCAAATGTACAGAAAATTTTAAACAGTATGTGAAAACTTATGGAAGAATAATTTCAAGAAACAATTATTAGCACTTCAATGAATAAAAGCTCTTTCCTAACATTTTTCTTCATTTTGGTGAGGTAGTTGAGAAATGAATTGTACAGTTGAAATGTATCACTGTAAGCATGGAATACCACAATTCAGTAGCTTCTTTACTGGTACATAAAATGTATTGAGAGCTATTTTCTTTGTCCATTAGACAAATCTTTAAAATCCATATAACTTCCTTTAGCACTCATGCACTTTCATAAATGGAAAAAAAAAAGAAAGAAAGAAAAAGGAATCTCTATATGTAAATAATTAAAATCAGAGTTTTATAGTAGTGGCAGAATTTAGCAGCTAAAAATGCCACGAGATTAGACCAATAAAAATAAATATATATCACCCGAGATGAAATGCTGGATCTTTGTGGAATATCAGAACTTTGCATATTTATTTATATATGCACAATACTAAAACATCAATCAGGATTGATGCCATTAGGCGAGATGTTATACAAACATATAGAAAAACAGTCCCTGCCCTGAAGAATTTACAAGCTAAGAAGAGTTTAAAGTGTCTAATTCAGATTTAGACTGGAAAGTGGAGATTTTCCCTTCAGACTCCAGAGCAGACTCTTTCATTGTAGAGCACTGAACAGAAGACATTTGCTATCTGGATTTGGATTACCTCAGAGACTTCCATTGGCTAAAGAGTTCAAGCCAGATTCTGATCTCAGTTCCATAAGTGTAAATTTGACACAATTCCATTTACTTCACTGGAGTTACTCTTGATTTAAGATGGCATAATAGAGATCAGAATTAGGCTCTGGAGGTTTACAGGCTCTTGGTTTAAACTAGCAGGTGCTGATGGCAGGATGTTCCCAATGAGGGGCCCTTGTAATGAAACTTTCTTCCTGTCATTGTCCAGCAGAGTATTGATCGCCTTCAGGAAATGCTGCAAGATTTACTAATTTCCTCAGGCTTTTGAGGGAGCACAGAAGATTTAAATAAGGGTATAATTTGGTTGGTGATGAAGGGAAGGATTATGGAGAGTATCTTATTTTAGTAAGTTTAGAGGACTTTTTGCCCTCATGAGATTTTGTATGTATGTATAATTAATTGTTTTGCATCTAGAGCTCTGGATCAGCACTTACAGGCATGAATATAACATAATATAAATACAGAGCTTTAATTGGCCAGCAGATGGAGACTGAGTAGGCTGGATTGGGCCCTCACATTATGGAAGACTCGGATAAACTATATTCTTCTCAATATCAGGCAGCAGCAACAGCACATATTTTAGACACCATATACAGTATGTCTAAACATAAATTATTTTGAGAACTAACCACTTCGGGGCACTTAATGGTATTAGCGCTTGATCAACTAATCCTTCAAGGACCTTAATCGTTCTGGAAAAAATCCCCTTTACTATCTGCAGTGCCATGATGACCTTTATTCTAACTAAAAATTATTTCCATCAGCTTCATTATGTGCAATTATACACTTTATAGTATCAGGTGATCCAAGATATTTGGTGAATTAGAACTTGAGGTCCTTCAGAATTACTTGAGGCTAATTCTTATGTGCCCTTTTTACATGATTTATGATGAGAAAACTGCAGATTGAAAGTTGAAAAGAAAACATGCAGAAAACTTGTAGCATTAGTCTTTATATAGGAAAACAACGCTTCTTTAATGTTTTAAAAGAAACATTTTTCTTAAATTTTAGGGTATAGTTTTAGTCTTATATGCTTTTGGCAAAAAATAATAATAATAATAATAATAAAAAGATGTACAGACTGTTTACAAATTTGGCATCCTGACTCGAACAATATAGAATTCAATGTATTCATAGTGCAGTGGTACATGCAAACCTTTCTATTGTTGCTGTGTTCACTGTTGATTGCAATGTTTAGAATAAAAAAAACATGAAATCATAGAATATCAGGGTTGGAAGGGACCTCAGGAGGTCATCTAGTCCAACCCCCTGCTTAAAGCAGGACCAATCCCCAACTAAATCAAAATGTCACACAGTTAGATTTCTGACACATTTCTTCTCTTGGGGATATTATATAGTGATCATTGATACTTAGTATATCATTTATTGTTACTTCTTGAACCAACTCCTATGTAATATTATGAAGAACTGTGTTAAGAAGGGCTTCTCCTTTTAGGTGCTCCAGAACAAGTTTTTCCAAACTACAGTCATTAAAGGTGTTGACAAATAGCTTCTTTAAACCTTGTCCCAATCTGATATTTGGCCAATTTATATGCAGGTAGTTGAATTCTCTAGTATTACGCTTTTGTTAGACTTATATCCATCAGCAGTGTGCACTCAATATCCTTTTGCTTATCTTGTAGTATAACCCCACAGGTATATTAGTATTCCTATGATTTGGGATTTGTATGTGTGATCCTTTCCACTCAAAAAGTTTACCTCATTAGACTCTGTGGTATTTTTCAGGTATAGTGTTAGGGCTTGTCTTCACTACCGGGAGATCAATGCTGCTGCAATTGATGCAGTGGGTGTTCATTTAGCGGGTCTAGTGAAGACCCGCTTAATCGATGGCAGAGCGCTCTTTGGTCGACTCTGGTACTCCAGCTCCCCAAGAAGAGTAAGATAAGTCAACTGGAGAGCATCTCCTGTCTATGCAGAGCAGTGAAGACACTGGGGTAGGTCGACTTAAGCTATGTTGTCTCCATCTACGTTAGTCATGTAGCTGGAGTAGCGTAATTTAGGTCGATTTACCCCGGTAGTGAAGACAAACTCTTAGTCTCTAATGTATCCTTCCTACATATTATACCCAAATAATACAATATCCCATTGGTTTATGTCATTCCACCATGTTTCAAAAATGCCTTTTATGTCAAGGTCCTTTGAAAGACAGGATTTTTAGTTCCCTTACTTTTACTTTCAAGCATCTCATGTTGGGATACAGGCATTTTTAGTTTTATTTTGAATTAATTAAATTATGTTTAGTAGTTCAGTCCTTTTGGGATATCAAGGGCTACACATTCTTATTAGAACATTAACATCAAGATCACCCTGAGGTGAAGCTGTAAATTGCTGCATATAAGATATAAACAATCTTAGTCAGGGTAATTAATATTCTTGATTTTATTTTTCTAAACTTGCTGGACTACTGGAGCAAAGCCTGGTGAATAAGAGTACAAAGTAAAAAAAGATCAAAGCTGAGAATTTAGTTCTTACAGTTTTAGTTATTTATTTATTTTTGGTTGTACTTCTGTACATTAACTTTAAAGATGGATACTGTTTTAAAAATGAAAGTTCTGACTATATGTAACTGAATCAATGATACAACATAGGTTTAAAAGCAGGATTCATCCATCTGGAGAAAATGGTTTGATTTTAGTTATTTTATCAGTGTAACTTATTTTCTTGATTACAATAAAACCTAAAACCTAGTTGGGGTTGGTCTTGCTTTGAGCAGGGGGTTGGATTAGATGATCTCCTGAGGTCTCTTTCAATTCTAATCTATGATTATAAAGTCAATACAAGCAAAATTCTCAGCTAGTGTAAACTGATCCACTTCCTGAAGTCAATGGAACTGCCTTAATTTATACCAACAGTGAATTTGGCTTTACAGCACTGTAGATGCATGCATTACAATAATAAACTTTATTTTTGTACTTTTTATATTTTAGGCCTACGTCTTCAAAAGTGGTTGGTGATTTTGAGTGTCTTCTTTTTGTTGCCCAACTTGAGACACCTTAAAGGAGCCTGATTTTTCACATTGACTTCAATGGAAGGACATTTAGGCAATTCCGAGGACTTTTCAAAATGGTACCCCTAATATTAATTTATACTTTATTTTTCAAAATAACAAACATGTTTAGAACAGCACAAAAGCAATTTTACATTAGGATTTTACTTTGATGTTTTTATGTTTGCTTTCTTTTTGTTGTCTCTTAAGTATTCTATAGACAACTAACTGTAGTTAAATATTTACAGTTCTTTTTAATTTATTGTGTTTTATGAATTCTTCCACAAGATGTGGAAATGACATTTTTTCTTAAAAGGCAGATGTTTCCATTAATCTATTATGCTAAAAGTTTTTTTTTCTGTTAAAAGCATATTTAAATCTTAATCTATTAGGTGTTTCTTTACTTAGAATTGCTTATGGAAAACAAAAAATAATGACTAATCAAGCTGTCATGTTTATTAAATGTTTGACAATGGTTGCTGGATGCCTTAATTTTAATTAACTACAAATGGTTCAAAAGCTGCACCATATTTTATTCCTACTCAAAAGCTATCCTTTTGTGATAGAGTAAAAGTGTGTTTGTTATATTTAATTGAGAGATACAATATTCAAGCTGTGTGGCGGTGATACAAGAATTTTTCACCCTTGCTGACAAGTACATTGACTTCTGTGTAATTCTTTAAATTGATTCAATCAAACTCATGCTGTTTATGCTTTTTAATTGATTGAATTAAAATATCATTTTAAACATTTA